GTGATCCACCCGCCTCGGCCTCCCGAAGTGCTGGGATTACAGGCGTGAACCACCGTGCCCAGCCGGGAGTGCGCTTCTTTTGACAGAGGAACAGACAGAAGGAAACCGGTGGGGGTGGAGCACAGTGAGCGAGTGGGCGGGTGGTGGGCGTGAGGGTGGGTGGCAGGCAGCTCCGCATCACATAAGACCTTTTGGTCATATGATGGAGTCCAGATTTTATTCCAGGAATTATGGGCCTCTACTGGAGGGTTTTAAACCAGGAGTGACATGATTTAAATCATGTTTTTTAAAGGTCACTCTGTTAATTTTCATTTAGAAAAACATTGACTGCCCACTTAGAAGATTCACCCAGGAGCCTCGCAGTGCTCTGCCTGCAGGGGGAACAAAGAGCCAGGCGGAAGCTTTTAAAGTCATAAGATAATCATCGGCCACCGGGCTCTGAGTCCATTAGCATAATTGGTGAGTCAGGCTTGATTCAACATCAGGAAAAACAGCTGTGAGAAATTCCAGGTCTGGCTTGAATTTCTGGCAGAAAGAACAGCTGCACAGAGTGCCGGCCCTAGGGGGCGCTCACGGGCACTGGGCCAGACAGGACGGGGTCTCTGCAGGGGCCCCCACAGAGGTTTTCTGTGAAGGGGCTGACTCCCACTCTTCACCATGGCCCAGCATTCTCTGGGGTCCTTTAATTATTGGCTCAGGAGTCTTCTTGAATGTCTAGAAAGCAAAACTCGTGGGAATGGGATCTAGGGGCACAGAAGCCAGGAGAAGGCAGTGAAAGGGCGCACTGGGGTGCACTGCTCTGCAAGAACAGCATACATCTCCCCAGTTAACGGCAAAGTGTCTCCATGCTGCCTTTGGAACCTCTACTCCTAGTCTCTCTGCTGTGGTTTAGATGAGGACTTGCTCCTCATTCTCCAGGTGCCAGGGCTGGGGCGAGGTACTTGTGACCAGGCCTGGGCCATTCTGTCAACAGATCTGACTATGTTTAGCCAGTAACTCACGCCGGCCCACAGGAGGCAATGGAGGACTTTTTCTGAACGTGTTGGGAGTTAACTGTCTTTGCTCTGTGGTTGTTACCTGCACAACTTTAATACCAAGTCGAGAGCTTCCGGAGTCTGCTATGTAGAATGGGCTGTCTGAGAACGAAGACGGATAGGCAAATACAGAGGAAAACAGAGAGAAGAGACAGGGAGCCCCTGGGCCAACCATCCCGGACAGACGTTGGATGCACCACTGCTTTTTCCATCCTAGAAAGTAACACATCCTCTTCCTCACTCCTGCTATTTTTCCCTTAAGCCCACTTTAGTTTTTAAATCACTTGCAATGAAAGGATTCTCTTTAAAGCAAACAGGAAGACAGAACTTCTTCTCTGCCATGGGGACTTCTTTCTCCCTGGAGTGGATGGGAATGCGTCCCCCAGGAAGACATGTTGAAGTCTTACCTCTTAGTCCCTGTGAATGTGACCTTATCTGGAAATAGGGTCTTTGCAGATGGCATCAAGGTAAGATGAGGTCATACGAATTAGGGTATATCCAAAATCCAGCGACTGAATTGCTTAAGAGAAGAAAACTTGGACGCAAAGACTCACAGGGAGATAGCGCCATGTGATGACAGAGGCAGGGACTAGAGTGATGTGTGCACCAGCCAGGAGACCCCAGATTGCCATGAGCCGCCCAGAGCTGGAAAAGGAGGCATGGGGCTGATTTGGCCTCATAACACCTGGAAGGAACCACCTCTGCCAACATCGTGACTATGGACTCTGAAGAATAAATTCTGGTTGCTGTGAGCAGCCCTGCTTGCAGTGATTTGTTATGACGGCCCCAGGAAACCAATACATCTCCCACAACACAGGTAGCCTTTGTGCTAAGGACAGACCCTGCATTCTCCTATCTCTGACTTTCTGATGAACAGATCAGCATGTTTTCCTGTATACACATATCGTTTGGGGTCAGATGTGGGGAAGGCGTGTCACAGTGTGCTTGAGAAGAAGGACCTGTTGGCCAGGCATAGATTCTGCCGATCCAAGTCACGCTTGCATTGGGCCTCTGGCCTGTAGCACTTCTCACCTCTGCCTCCCCTCTCCACCCGCCGGAGCAGTCATCCACAGTAATCACTGGCTCAGAGGATGCCAGTCTCCGTTGGGGGACACCCCGGGCTCACCCATCTTCCTGCCAGAGCATCATTTGCTGCTGTAAGGGCAAAACAAAGGGTGGCAAGGAGCTAATGACTGCACCTTGGGAAGCTCCAACTGGGCAATTAATTCACAGTTCTGAGCTTTCCCAGAAGGAAAGAGATAAATTGTTCACTTACACTCCCAGGGTGTCCTTAGCAGAGACTCATTTGTAAAACGGGTGTGAAACCGAGGGTAGGGCGAGGCTCTGAGGGGTAAGACACATTCCTGGAAGGCCAGTGGGCCCCACCAGCCCAGTGCCAGGGCCATCACAACTGGCTGCCCTCGGCTTGTGCACAGGCTTAGCTGCCGAGGACCTTAGGACCAGTGGTTGGTGTTATGGATTGAACTGGGATCTCCCCCACCCCAAATTCATAGTGGAAGTCCTAACGCCCAGTATCAGAAAATGACCTTGTTTGGAAATAGGGTCACTGCAGATGTAATTAGTTGAGATGAGGTCATATGGGAGTACAGTGGGCCCTAGTTTCCTTGGGGAAATTTGGAGCCGGACATGGTGGCTTATCCTGTAATCCCAGCACTTTGGGAGGCCAAGGCAGGATGACTGCTTGAGGCCAGGAGTTTGAGACCAACTTGGGCAACATAGTGAGACTCCATATTTACAAAAAATTAAAAAAAAAAAAAAGCTAGGTATGGTGGTGTGTGTCTGTAGTCCCAGCTACTTGAGAGGCTAGGGTGGGAGGATTGCTTGAGCCCAGGAGGTTGAGGCAGCAGTGAGCGTTGATCACACAACTGTACTCCAGCCTGGGTAGCAAAGTGAGATCTCCGGCTCACAAAAAGGAGGACATTTGGACACGGACACACACACACAAGGAGTCTGTCACATGAAGCTGAAGGCAGAGATCAGAGTGATGCTTCTATAAGCCAAGGACTACCAAGGACGCCAGCAACTGCAGGAGCTGGGAGGGACCTGCAGGAGTTCCCCCAGAAACCCTCTGAGGTAACCAGCTCTACCTACACACTGAGCTCAGACTTCAAGCTTGCAGAAAAGTGAGGTCATACATTTCTGTGATTTAAGCTGCCCAGTTTGTGGTACTTAGTTATGGTAAAGTACCTGTAGCCGCAGTCCAGGGAGGGAACTGAGAAGCCGCGATGGACAGACCCCCACAGAGATGCTGATGAGGCCGGCAGCCCTCCAGCTTCCAGCACCATCTTCCTTGGGAATTTGGGAAACTCAGTGCCTCCAGGGGCCCCACAGGTGGTGTCAGAGAGAGAACCAGCCAGGTGCGAGAGAAACCACCTTGCACCACTTATTTATTCACACTCAAAAAGACACCTCGTGGACATTTCAGTTCAGACTTTCCTATCAGTTCTTTCTTGGATTCTGGGCACATAGATTGCATGATGGTTTGCATTGTGATGGCATCTTCAGTTGTGTTCTTTGGACAATGACATTCTATATTTGCCTAGGAGACACACAGGAATTTTCTTCCCTTTCACAAAGCAATGAGCTCTTTCTGAATGATCGTGAAAACACATGGCTCCTTCCCTCTCTGTTTCCCCCACTTTTGGGTAGAGCCATAACTTGGGAGAAACACCTTTCTATTAGAAGAGTGGTGAGATGGAGCATAAATGGAGTTGGTCAACTCTGGGTCCAGAAGACATCATGGGTGGAGAGGATTCAAACCTCAGTGCCACTTTGCCCCATCGGGGCCAAGTCAGATTGGCAGCTCCATTTCGCCAGTGTCTGAATTCTCAAGCGATGCTAGAAATCTAGATTTCTAAGGTGAAATTATCAAAGTTTTGAATGTTGGCTCAATTTTCTCCATTCTGCAACCAGTTTCATTGTCTTTTACAAAACTTATGACTGGCTGGGTTCCGTGGCTTACACCTGTAATCCCAGCACTTTGGGAGGCCGAGGTGGGAGGATTGCTTGAGCCCAGGAGTTCAAGATCAGCCTGGGCAACATAGCAAGACCCCCAATATCTACAAAAATTACAAAAATTCACTGAGTGTGGTGGCATGTGCCTGTAGTTCCAGCTACTCGGGAGGCTGAGGTGGGAGGATCACTTCAGCGCTTAGAAGGCAGAGGTTGTAGTGAGCTGAGATTGTGCCACTGCACTCCAGTCTGGGCGACAAGACAGAGCAAGACCCTGTCTCAAAACAAAAACAAAAACCCCAGACTATCTGAAATTATTTTGTGTGCTGTTTATTCCCCCCACCCAAATAGATGTAAGTAAGGTTTTTGAAAGTGCATGTGCATTTGCTGTATGTATGACTCTGTCTCTAGTGCTTGCAGCTATTCCTGGTACAGAGTAGCTGCTCAGTAAATACTGGCTGAGTAAATTAGTGATCTATCACTTGCTATTGTTTGCATGAATACAAGGATTCCATGCAACTTCTTGTTATGTAGAATTGTCTTGGGGCTGCAGTTGATAAAGGAATCTACAATCAACTTTTTAACCCAGTCCAGAGTTATTGTGTGTATGTACACTCAAGACCCAAAGGAAGGACAGAAAATTTTCCTCACTCCAGCCCAAAAGGAGGCTGGAATACATGCTTGCCTGCCACAGTTTCCACTTACCACTATTAGTCAGTAGGCTTTTAGGAGAGGATTGCACGTGTGATTTATTTGCAAATCCTTTCAGATCCTGAAGGAGAGACACTTAGTACACAATGTACTTTGTCATCACATGTCAACATCCCCTCGATGCAGAGAGCAGCATTACACGATGTAAGGGTGTAATTGGATTGTGCTGGGATCCTTAAATCTGCATTTCATTTGGAGCCACAGCTTTTGCAGAGCCATTTGCAATTGATGCAAGCCCCGTGGAGGGGGTCAGCGTGGAGGAGGACAAAGGACAGCCATAAAGCCACTGAATGCAAACTTTATATTTACAGTCAGTAAGTGTATAAATATATATTACATTCTTACAATCTACAGTACATTCTACACGTAGATGGATTTGGGAGTGGGCAGTGGCTGCAGTACTCAACAGAACATGACACAGGTAAGCATGGAAAGAAATATGAGGATGTTACTGAAAGCAAAGGATTCTCATCAAATGGGGTGACAGCTTAATCACCCAACCAAACAAGGTAGGTAAGCTTGCGGACAGGAGCAGGTGACTTGCTGGCTGCAGAAACCCCAGTGTCAAGAGCAAACTGATAGCACCACAGTTGCAGGGGAGAGGGCTAAGGTTGGAAGGGTAAACTGGTGAAATTTACACACACATGATCTAAAGAGAATTCAATTCTATGGAGAGGGAGAAGGAGTAAAGACATACTCAAAATTAGAGACAGAGAGGAAGCAGGGAGATAGGTTCAAAGGAGGAGAGAGATACAGACACACACAGAGTGGAAAACAGACATTGAAAGAGCAGAGAGAATGAAAATGACAAAGAGGGAAAAATGGAATGGATTCAACAGCACGGCCTCTTCTGCCCTCCACCCGCTGCCCCCTACCATCTTTCTCAGGATCCTATCTGGCTGGGAATCACCCAACACACCATTCTCTACCTTAGCGTGAGATGGGGCAGGAATTCGCTGATGTCTCCTTCCCCCCATCTTCATAGGCTCCATAAGTGAGGGGATTCAGGGATATCCTGCGTCATGCTGATCTCAAGCAATGCGAAACCTTTCGGGGCTGACTGCAGGACCAGGTGCTTGCACACCTGCATCTCCACCACACGCAGACGCCCCTCATCCCTTCACACCTCCAAGGAGAAGGCGGCTTCTGTGCTGTCCGGTGTGTGCGAGGCCAGGCCTCCTGCTGGACCCACCGCGTTCACACCCAGAACCCCCCAACTCCACACGTCCTGCACATTCCACACAGGCACCCAGATTTGTCTCAACAGCCTTGAGGGCACATTCTTGGACAGGAGATCTGCCATGAACAGTGAAAGACCCATCCCAAGTGGCCCTGTTTTCTTTCTAGAAAAGCAAGGGAGTGTCTATCCCCTGGGGTGGAATTCACTGTGAGTACTGCCCATGCCCAGAGACCAGCCTCTTCAAAGACGGACTGCGTGGGACATACGCCCAGGTTTGTGGGGGGAGCTTCTCTATAGAATGTCACTTGGGAGTTGACACAAAACCCAGAGGGAGAAAAAAGACTCAGCAAACACTAGAAACTGCCCTCTCCCTCCCCCACCCACAGGTGACCAGAGGCTTTGGGGAGGGTGGCAATGCAGTGGAGGAATAGAAATGGATACATTGTGAACTTGACAGGAATCAAAAGAGCCTGGTTCTTTGAACCTGATTCAAATTCTATGCCCAGTATCCTTAGTTTACAAATAAAGAAGTGCCCTGAAGGGCTCAGGATTTGTGTCCATGTGTTTGTCCTTGGCATGTAGTTACAAAGGTATTTGTGGCCTGTTAGCCCACATGTTCCCTTTCAGTCCTTGTCAGCCACTGCCTTGGCCTGCCCATGATCTGAGCCAGCTCTGGCCCAGCCTTTGAGAGACAATGACTCCCGGCCATGCCTCCCCCAGCGGACGGCGGCACTGGACCGCCCGTGATCGCGCTCACAGCGAGATGTGCTGCTCCGTTTCGAGGACACGCTTCCTCCCATTGATCCACGGATCCTCCACCTGAGTTGCGCTTTTCTCCGGTAGTCTGCAATATCGAATATTGGAGCCATGTGGATTTTACAATATCCAAATTGCTTTGATTCGAGAGAGAGAGAGAGAGAGAGAGAGAGAGAGAGAGAGGCTATTCTTTCCTGGAAACTCAGATGCTCAGTGATTCCGAACTCCTTTTTGTTTCAGGTCTGAAAAATCTTGCCATGCATGATAAACCTCTTAAGCAAGACACTGTACTCTGGAATGTGTGCGTCGATGCGGACTCCAGGCCTAGCCGCTGAACCGGGGTCATTGGCTGAGGCTCCATGGACAGTGTCATCCTTATTTTGTCCTGTTGCTTTGTTTCTCTTCCGGGGGCACCGTTGCTACACATCCTGGAATTAAAGGCTGAAAGGTGAGTGAGAACCAATGTCTGTGTGTGTCTGGCTTACACATTTTCATGTAACCTCTCCATGTAGTTGTGCAGCTCTTTGCAGTCCCCAGGGTCCAGATCCTGGCAGACCCACTTAATGTCATCCTCGCTACTCATCACGATGGAGTTCCTGGTGGGGTACTCGTCGTCGGAGGAGACGGCGGTGAAGGTGGTAAATTTCACCCTTTTCCTTTTTGAGGTAGGGGATGTTGGGGGATCACTTTTCTGGTCTTTCCCATCGATGACGATGGGTCCCAAAGGTTTGAACAGCTGCCCATTGATGCTTTTTTGGGAGTTTGTGCTGAGGAGATATTTACTTTCCTCGAAATCCATGCCCCTGTCAATGGCAGTGATTTGCTCATCTTGCGAGGAGGCAAAGTTGATGTGATTCTCCAACAGCTCTGTCCGGTTGCTTAACCCAACCCAGTCATGAGAGTGACTCATCCCTTCCTGCTCCTCGAAGGGAACCTGTTTGTGTCTGTACTTTAATGCAAAGGTCACACAATTTATCAAGAAGACCAAAATGGCCAAACAGAAGACACCCAACAAAGCATACATCCCAATTTCCAAGTCGCTCAGCCCTTTGGATGCCTGCATAAGGTCATTCCCATCCATTTCCGCATTGCTTCTGGGGAGGTCCACCTGGGCTGGGAAGCTGGTGAGGTCACTGGGGACAGTCTGCAAGTGGCTGTCGTTATCGAAAAGGTTTTCCTGGCCTTTCTTCTTCTGCAGGATGGACCTGTCTGTTGTGGTGCCCCGTCCCTCCATGAGTCCCATGGAAGAACTGCCATAGTACTGTCCTTCCTGACTCCCCCATTCTTGCAAGGGTTTTTTGGGCCTTCTGTCACTGACATTGTTTTCCAGGTGAACCCCTGCCCCTGTGTGTCTGCTGTCACTGGTGTTGGGGTTAGCATCATTTTGGCCAAATTTAACTTTGATGTTTGCTGTTCCAACAGCTAACACACTCTTCCGCTTGGATTTCTGGCAGGATTCACTAATAACCATTTCCACCTTGACCAGGGCGCCTTGTCCTTCGGTTTCTGCAGCAATGATAGGCCACTTGAATTTGGGGTCTTGGTGGATGGAGACCACCTTCTCATCCAAAGATGTGGCCACCAAGGAGAAGTCTTTCCCATCATAAATATCCAAGGGTGTGACTGAGCCATCACTGAACTGGACCCAGCAACTGATGGCTGCTTCCTATTGAGAAAAATATGTAAGTTAATTAAAATGGGCCAAAAGGCTCATTGAGCCCCAAGTCTTAGTACAGTAGACACACTATGGAAAAATATTGCTACGAGAACAAAGACAAGCCTTTCAAACAGTGTAGAAATAAGCGATAAGAAGTACCAAGAGTATAAAAGAAAATGAATTCTCACAAAGATGCAAAAAAGCAAAATAAAACAACGAAATGACAAAAGAGGGTCGGTATTAAACAATCCATAAGAAGATTTTGCTTTTTTTTTTTTTCTCCCTCCCGTAGGTGTTAAAAGGAAGATGGGCCCTTGGGCTGTTCAGAATCGACTTCTGAACAATAATAAATTGCACGACAAAGGAAATTACTGGTGAGTGGAATCATTTACAAGTGTTACGCATTCAAATGAAAAATATTTATTACATTATTTATAAGTTGTAATACTGAGTCTCCACTGATCACTGGCAAAACAGATAAAAGCGTCTGATCTAGATGAGATCCCACTGCAGGGCTGCAGGCTGTGGTTTGGCCAGCCCTGCCTTTTCTAAGCCTGCAGGAGTAGGTCTGTCCTGACCTCAGGACATAGTCTTGGCTTGAAGGGAGTAGTTAGGCCTGACAGCAGGAGAGGCAACGCATCGTGATTGGAGAGTCTTCGTCTCTTTCTTCACCCAGCCCAACTGGAGGAAACTGGAAGGCCAAAAAGCAGCCAGAGCCGGGGTTTGTGCACCTCTCAGTCTCTTGTGTTTTCACTCTGTTGATTTAGACCAACTTTCTTTGCAAATAGTTTGACCGGGCAGATCATTGGAGATAACCTCCAATTTCATGCCAGCCTTTAATTTTAGTGAAGACGTCATTATGCTTGACAGCGCAGAGGCAGATCCATTGCTTCCTCCCTCCTCCCTCCCTCTCGGAGAACCTGCTCTGCCCCAAGCCCGAGATGATGAACAGCACTAGGCGGCCCCTGACCCTGCCTGCTGGGCCACAGCAACAGCTGATTGGAACGAGACAGCTGCTGCCATTAGAGCCATCAATCTCAGCAACGCTGAGCCAGCCAGCATGACTCTCACCCTCTGTCTCTCTCTTCTCTTTCTCTCTCTCTCAAACTTGAAACCAGAAAGACAAGACTGGCAAAGTCAGGTTGAGAAGCTGTGTAGTGGGGGCTCATATAAAATTGGGAATGCAGCCCTCTGATGGACTACGTGTAAGCAAATGTTTGGGCATGGCATTTATCCATAGGAAGACAATAATGAGTTAGACCAAAGTAAAAACACAGGTGAGAGAGAGAGTGGGCATGAGAGTGTTGACCTTCCCTTTCCTCCAAGGTCTTGCAGCTGGGTTCTGTGAGATCCCTCCAATCCTCGTAACACATCCTTTGTTATTTAAGCTTTTCCTTGGGTGGACTTTTTTCTCTTACAACCCACTGGCCCCTGACCATGACAGAAGTAATTTTACACAGTTGTTATTTAGTCTTTGGAAGTAAGAAGAAAGGCTCCTCAAATGTGGCTGGCGGCCTCTGCTCCTTCCTTCAGCTCAGCCAAGAAATACTTACGCTGTTAGACATCGGCTTGGACTCCCTGCTAAGTGGAGAACCTTGCCAAGGCACAGTGCGAAAGCTACTGGACATGACACTGACTTACCAGGTTCTCTCAATCTGCCATGAAATCTGAGCAGAGCATTCAAATGCACAATGGAGTTCCTGAAACCACCACTGTCAGAGCCAAGTTGCAGGCAGGGAGTGAGAGCCCTGCAAACCACCTATGGAGCAAATCTCAGGGTAGCGTGTTTAGCTCTGCATGTCAGGAACGGATTAGCCTCTGGCCTTCTTCCAGCTGCATCTTATCCCTTCCTTAAGGCCTAACTGGTGGTCAGCTGATGTTATCACCCACAAAGACAGTGAAAAGCCTCAGGTTATTTCTTCATTGCCATCTGTAATTTGCCTCTCGGCTGGCATTCTTCCTTGAGAAAAGGAGGTTTGCTTTGCCCAAAAATTCAATTCTGTTATTGCGATCATCCGCTTTCAAGAGTTTTCTAATCCAAAACTCTGCAAACAAAGACTGTAGTATAAGGACTAGGAGATTAGCTCATGCCTAAGAGGGGAGCATTACATGACAGGTGCAGGCTGGGAAAGTGGGAAGGCTCTTTGTGCCTCTTGGCAAGTCCAGTGTAGCACTCCTGCCTCCTCTGAACATGGTCACAGCCGCTGCTGGTGCACGAAGGCAGGGCAGGCCTGGTACCTCATCCTGCTGAGGGAGAGTGTGCAAAAAAGGCTCTGGATCCAGAAGGGAAGCAGTCAGAACAATATCCCATTTGGGCTGGAGGGATTCCAGCTGCTCACATGAAGATGATCCCTTTTCATGGGGCACAAAGAACTAATGACCTGCAACCACTATGTTTTGTTGTTAAGCAAGCTTCACCCAAATTCCTATGTTTTAAGAAGTAATGTTTATCTACCTCTAATGAGGGAGAACATACTACTTTCAAAGGTCCCCTATAATAGTCCCCTTTGTAAACCATTGCATCCACATACAAACACATGCACCACACACACACAACACACAATACATTCACAACACACATACACATATACATGCACACAGGTGCCTATAAAACACATACAACACAAAATACTGACACAAGACACACATGCATATACACACACGCATAAAGCAAAAACATGCATACATGACATACACAGACCCACAGCACACACATATACATATGTATATATACACATGACATATAGACACATGCAATGCATACATACATACAACACACAATACATTCACAACACATATACATGCATACAGGTGCCTCTATAACACAAGCATACATGCAAAACACACAACACAAAACAACACAAAATACAGACACAAGACACACACGTGCAGACACATAGACAAAGCAAAAACACAACATATATGTACACAACACATACATAGACACAACACATATATACATGTGTACACATACAACACACAGACACAGGCAATACACACATACAACACACAGAAACACACAACACACTCTATTAGCTCACACTGGTTCCAAATAAAGTAAAAGAAAATTGTGACTGACATCCCCATGAATTCTCTGTTTTTGCCTTGAGCTGAACAATGAATGGTCTGGAAGCGATGTCCCGCCACGGGCTCCCCACTCAGCAGGTCTGTCACGCTCCACTCCATCAGGACCTTGGCAGCAGGCTGTGCACCTGCTCTGAGCCTGCACGTGCCCTCATGCCCTCATGGAAGCAGGAAGGATGTGGAGAGCACAGGTGACCACCTGCATGCACCTGCACTGTGGTGGATGAGGGGCGGGCCTTTCCTCCAGGGCTCCTGCCCCTTAGTGGCTTCTCATTTTTACATGTTGCAATCCTTATGTATATTTGTATTTATTTTTTTCATCTCTGCATGAGGGAGCTGGGAAACATGAGGCAGAGGAGTCACCTGCTTCATAAGAGCCCTTTGCAGATGGAGAAACACCCGATATGTGATCCCACTCTATTGTGCCACCTGCCTGGCGTGGTGCCTGCCTGGTGTGTGATCCACTTGGTGTGGGACCCCTGCTGAAGTGTGTCTCAAACCCTCCTCCATACCTGTTTTGGCCTCTGCAGAAGTTCCTGAGCCACTGCAGTGGCAAAGATGGCTCTGTTGCTTCCTGGGCTGAGCTGCAAGGAGAGCGACAGCCCTGTCACCAGCTGCACCCCGAGGTCTGTGATGGTCACCTTCTCGTCCAGCACGGTGATGGTCTTTTCAGCGAGGATGGTGTCTGACAGAGGAGACAGGATCTGGAGGGCGGAAGCGACATGACAAGGAAAGGCTTTCTGTGGTCCAGGCACTGCCTCCAGTTGCAGGAGGAAGTGCCAAGTGTGCAGGCAGCTACGGGGCAATGTGTGAGCCAGAAAGTATGAGAACAGGTCTTTCCCACTGACACCGCCTTCTAAATCACATATTTTGCTTGAGAAAATGGAAAGCATTTTTTGCGTAAAGCAAGGTGGTGTCAAGTAGTGGGCAGGCAGGGCTTGGCCCCTCCCCACACCCCACACATCAGCTCCATTTCCCACCATGCTCCATCCTGGACAGGAGGAACTGAAATTTTCATTTGACTATTAACTTTATGATTTTTCTACATCACAGATCATCTCTCTACTCTTTAGTGTGTGTATTTTGTTTAAAAGTATTTATTTTGCTAAAATTTGTTTTTTCAAAAGCCTTTCTATCACCAGCAAACAATGGGTTGGGTGTACTGGTTACATATTGACGGCTTTCTCTCTTGCACACGAAAACCAATGCGCAACTGGAAGGTGGATCCTGCTGGTCCATCTCAATCATGTGTGTCACTGGAGGCCACACTGTACACTTTGGGAAACACAGTGTATGATGCCTGATGATGTGGAATATCGTCGGGCATATTCTGATAAACGTAGGTTCTGAGTGTCTATGCCTGACGCCAACAACCCAAAGCCTCATTTCTCCTGTGGACACCCGGAATGACCTGGAAAATGAGGCTTATGTGCAATTTAGACCCTGGACAGGAAATTCTGCATTTTTTTTTTTTTTTTGTATTTTTAGTAGACACGGGGTTTCACCGTGTTAGCCAGGATGGTCTCGATCTCCTGACTTCGTGATCCACCCGCCTCGGCCTCCCAAAGTGCTGGGATTAATCCTGCTTTTGAGGAACGTCTGTAGAATCACCTCTTCCTCCTCTCACCCTTTGCCCCAATGATAAAGAGCTGTCTTAGATGCCTCGCGACCCCGTGTAACTCAACCTTCTGGCAGGGAGGGGCTTCATTCTCTGCTCTCCTGCTTTCTCGACCTCTCTCTTTTCAAGTTTTTGGTGATATTTATGATGTATGTCAAGACAGCGGTTTTTCCAGGACCCTTTAAGACCAGGAATCAAAGCTCCATACTTCTATCCGAATGCCACCTTCACTTTCCGGTCCAATTGGGACAATTTAAATGGAGGCGAGCAGGAGAGATGCGTCCCCAGAAGAAAGTGGACAAGTGAATTTATGACTCAGGAGGACGCAGTGAAAAAAAAGAAAAGAAGAACCAAGGTTCGCAGGAGTAGATGCCTCACCAAAATAATGTTCACGTTTAACGTGTGCGAAGCTGGCCCACTTCCTCTTCCCCGACACCTGATTTCAGAATGGTATGTCTTTTCCCTTCCCCTTTGCACTTCAATTGTCACTTAAGGGAAGATGTTAATACCAAATTCTCAACTCACTGTGAGTTTCTGGACATCAGTTTCAGTTTAGCCTATAGATTTATGATAGGGATTCAGGTCTTTCAACTTCTTAGTCAATTGTGGAGGTTGCAAGCTCTCATTTATGAGGCAGATATGTTTTGTCTGACATAAGTCATATTTTAAGGTAGAATTAACGATCATCATTTAGAGAGCCAGAAGATTTCACATAAAAACATAGACTTCCAGCTTTTCTAGAAAATTGGAACATATGGCCACAGTGGACTTGCATTTCTTCTTGGCAGCTTTTGGCTGTAAGAGCTTGCCCCTTTCCACAGTCCCCACCACTCTCTGTTGTCTCTCTAACACTCAGAGGAAAATCAGCTGCTGTCTTTCAGCACACACCCAGCCTACTCTCCTCACTGACGGTAGCTTCTCAGCTTTTAGAGATCATTAGAGTGTGTGACTCCTGGTCTACAGCCCAAACCCATTTATTTTCCTCCTTGGATAAAATGAAGTTTTAGATATACCAGCCAATTTTCTAGAATGGATATGTTTTAAATCTTCCACGATCCAATCTAGTCTCAGTTATGATGATTCCTCATGCACAGCTGTTTTCGAAGCCTCACAGATTGCCTGATAAGACAATCGCATTGCCTGCAGAGGGGGCAGCTGCTGGGGAATACACTTTTCCTTTGGCTACGACGTACACTATTTGGGTGATGGCTACGCTAACAAGGCAGACACGCAATATGTCCAGGTAACAAAACTACATTTGCACCCCTTACATGTTTACAGAAAGAAAACAAACTCCTGCTTTGTTCTCAGCTGGGAGGTAAATGACCAAACCCTTACAAGCCTCCCAGAACACTGTTTTGTAAAAGCGTTTGTTTCAAAACCCGAGTGTTGCGGCTGGTCCTCTCCATCACCCGCTCCCCAGCAGAAGGGGCCCACGAGACAAATGGAGGCACAATAACTTCGTTCCTTCCTTCAGCACATGTCTGAGTTATTCAGGTTCTCATCAGGCCACCGGCTGTGACTTGGTAGAGGCAGTCACAATATCCTGAAGCCATGGGAAGGTTTAGGTGACCATGCTCGGCGGCGGAAAGTGGCTCAGCAAGAAGCTGCTGGCCGTGCCTGTGATTCAGATCACATGAGCTCACCTCAAAAGCTTGTTTACCAAGATAGTAATGCCTACCACAGCTTGGGCAAAATAGTGTGTTTCAAGCATGACCACCATGGGAGTCAGCCCAGAGTTTCTCACCTATAAGTAATATGTGAGGAATTTCGAGATTCTCATCACATCATTACATGATTTGTATTGTGGTTTCATTTGAGATGGAGTCTCGTTTCATCACCCAGGTTGGAGTGCAGTGGCACGATCTCAGCTCACTGCAACCTCTGCTTCCCAGGCCCAAGCGATCCTCCCACCTCAGCCTCCAGGAGCTGGGACCACAGGCGTGCACCACCACACTCGGTTAAATTTTTGTATTTTTGGTAGAGATGGGGTTTTGCCATGTTACCCAGGCTAATCTCAAACTACTGAGTTCAGGTGATCTGCCCGCCTCGGCCTCCCAAAGTGCTGGGATTACGAGCGTGAGTCACTGCACCCAGCCAACATCACTTGTATTGTTTACTTGACAATTTCTTTGAATTTAGCCATCCTAAAAATAGATACCATTCCCAGCAATGACAAACAGCTGGTTTCTCCTCTGGGCAGAGCAGAGGTGGGAAGACAGAGAGATCTTGCTTTGGGGATTTTTTTTTTTTTTTTTTTTACCTGAATGGTGGTCATCCCAAGTTCCTGTCCCATCAGGATCTGTCCACCTTGCAGCTTGGCGATCCTGGGCTCCTCCACCTGCATGAAGTCATTTATCAGCTCCGTGATGTCCACTTGCCAGTCTGAGCCCAGCAGGTGGACCAGGTGTCCCCCAGGGCCGGCCGCCTCAGCCACAAACTGTGTCAGGACCCGCACCATGGCGTGCTGGTACTGCAGGGTGCAGCCGCGGCCCCTCCGCTCATCGTCCTCCTCTTCCTCACTGTCCCCAGCAGGCCTGTGAAAGAGGCAGTGCAGTTTGCAGACAGTTACCTGTTGGTTCTCTGTAAGGGGCTGTGTGTGGAGCCTGGTGGGGGCTGCAGAGGTAAGGAGACCATGAGACTTCAAGGAGTTTACATCCAGACAAGCAGAGGTGAACCTGACATACTAACCACTGCTCTGGCGTGACCAGTCCCATCAGCAAGGCCGGTGCAGCTAGCAGAATGTAAGGTGTTCCCAGTGGCCCCCACCTCCTGGTGTCTACTTTGTGTAAACCTCTCCCCTTGAGTGTGGGCTGGACCTAGTTTCTTTTGTCCAGTGAAAAAGTTATGGCGAAAGTGATTGGATGGTCACTTTCTTGGCTAGACTTGAAAAGCCGGTGACTTCTGTCTTGCTTGTGTTTTCTTTCCTTGGTTCTTTGCACTTGCTCACTCTGATGAAGCGAGCTGCATGCTGTGAGCCAAGCTGTAGAGATTTCCAGCCAGCTAGAAACTGAGAGTGAACTCTGGCCAGCACCAGCGAGGAACTGAGACCAGCCAGCACCCGCGCGAGTGAGCCTGCACGTAGATCCTTCCCCACATGAGCCTTGAGATGGGACCCCAGCCCCACTGACATGGGCTGCAGCCTGTAAGAGCCCCTGCTCAGAAGACCCAGCTCAGCCATGCCTAGATTCCAGAGCCACGGAAACTGTTCGATAATACATGCTGTTCTTTCTCTTTTCGAGATAGGGTCTTGCTCTATCATCCAGGCTGGAGTGCAGTGGTGCGATTTCAGCTCACTGCAGCCTCGAACTCCTGGACTCAAGCAATCCTTCCACTCCAGCCTCCTGAATAGCTTGGACTATAGTGCAAGCCACCATGCCCGGCTAATTTTTAAAATTTTGTGTAGAGATGTGGTCTTGCTATGTTGCCCAGACTGGTCTCAAACTCCTGGGCTTAAGCCATCCGCCTGCCTCGGCCTCCCAAAGCGCTGGAACTTACAGGCGTGAGTCGCCATGCCTGGCCAGCATGTTGTTCTTGTAAGCCACATTAACATTGGGGATCATTTTTAACCCACTAAGCTTTGGGATAAGCCACTATGTTAGACAGAATGGATATAGCTAACACGACAAGGCCAGGGATGAATGGTGTGGTTCTGTAAGCCAGCACACAAAGCAGGTGAATATGTAACCCCAGGTGAGGCCAAATGTGATAACAAAGGCAGAGAGGGCCAGGATGCTTGGAAGGAGACAGATGTCAGCTGCTCCCTCAACATCTGGTCCCCTCTGTGCAGTTGGCCCTTTGAAGGCACCGTCTCGGTCTCCATCAGAACAGCAGCTGTTCCCTCTCACACTCACTCCGCTGCCATGTCTGAACCAGGCAGCTGTGACAGCGTGTGGGATGTGCTGCGGTGAGACTCAACCAGGTCCCTGGTGAATCTTCCCCTACAGTTTCTTCCCTCTGCAGCACCAACCGTCACCCTCTAATCCACGCCCTCAACTCAACACCAGAAACCCCAGCGACTGAGAAAGAATCATTGCTGAAGCCAGCTCCCAACTGTCCCTGAGACCCACAGCCTTCGTCCTTGAAGCATCCCCTCTCCCAGGGGTCATGGGACCAAAGGAATGAGCTTGCAAGGGAGGGAATATAAGTTATCCCTCAGATGAGCACCAATTCTCCACTCCCTGCCGAGTACACAGACTCCAGGCATATTTCCTTGTCTCATAACGCATATACTTTTAGCAACATGTCGTTATACCTGAATTCTTATACACGGTTTCTCTGAGATGACAAAGTCTGTGAGTGAAGAGCCTGAGCTCCTACCACTGTCTTTACATGGTACTCACGTGGTTCCCGATGGTAGATGGTGGAGACTCCTGGGGCTCTACCAAGCACCATTGGAGTAATGTATCAGACACTCAGTGGACAAGCCTCAGACCTCATTTCACCAAGGCAGAGAGCTCAGAGCTTCTGGACTGGAGCACAGAGAGGCAGCTCAGGTCAGGCTGACCCTGTCAGATGTCCTTCCAGGGAACATCTGCTGCCTTCTTCTTTCCAGCATCAATTTTCCCTCCTCCTAGAATTTGTCCATTCATTCACCCTTAGTGCACCTCTTCGACTAGCTCCTCTGGCTCTAGTTGGGGGAGTCCAGCCACTCAGTGTGTTCCAGGGCCTTGGCTACAGTAACTAGATAAGGGAGGCCACAAAATCCCAGTGAGGATAAGACTTAAATCCAGGACTTTGCTGGAACTAGTGGGAAGGAGAGGAGGCACTTCCTGCTGGAGTTGCAGAGAAGACAGGATGAAAGCCTGGAACCTCCCAAAAAACACTGATAGAGAATGAAGCCAACACAGAGCAAATCAAAGCTGAGCGGTGGAGGGAGAGTTGGTCCTTAGGGTACCACATGCATCCTCAGACCCAGTCATGCCCGGATTTGCCACCCTGTACACTTCCTTCTTAGTCTGTCATGGAGTTTGAGGGGCACACCCACCTCCTGCTGGAGACGATGGGCACTCGCCAGCCCTTGATCTGATTGAGCTCGGTGTCTGAGACCTCTATCTGCAGCGGAAGTCGGGGCACCCACACTGTCATCTCCAGGGGGCTGCTCAGGTGCTGGTAGGTGAAGTTCACCATCACGTTCACCTTGCCTTTCATTTCCTTCCCATTGACAAAGACGTAGTCACATCTGTCAGAAACCTGTGAAGAGGTGAGAGAGAAGGGGAGGGGAAGGTGAGCTTTCATCCCATTGCATGGCCCAAGGAGGAGGAAAGGGAAGCACCCTGGCTGGTAGAGGTCACTTACTATGGGGAGGAGGTCCTGGTATGAAGCAGATATTGGCTGTTGCTTTTGAGTATAGCAGACGCGGTTATGATAGGTGCTCTCTGAGTACCCAGTCTTCCTGGGGTCCCTGTGGCTAGCTTGGTGGACTCCTCCCCAGGGGCTGCGTGTGTGTTGCCGACAGCTCCTGCCACATCTTCCATAGCAGACTGCCCTTAGGTGAGTGGAGCTGTGTCCCTCAGAGTTACCTGGGAGTTATGTCCTGCTCACCCCGCTTCTCTGCCCAGTGACTACCTGGGAGGGTGAGAAGCCCAGGCTGTTTGCCTCAAGGAGGGACCCACACACAGCACAGCTCACTCTTAAGAGCTGCTCAGGGAGCTGACTGTGCTGCACCGGAAGCCGACCTTGCTTGGCCCCTCCTCTTCCGCTCCTACGCTCTTCACTCCCACGCCGGTGTATCCTGAGAACGTCCTCAACAGAGCATGCGCAGACCACTTTCCCCCCCGCAGGCACGGGGTGGATTCTGCAGAGTTCCCTAGAGGGGCTCCATGGGGTTCCACAGAAGTCTCTCACCACGCGCGCTAGCTCAGTGATGCCCCTCCTGCTGGTTTTCCGAAATGTGTCCTGTCTTGCTGCTCATTCCCTCATTCTGCATCCAGAGATCATTCCCCAAATAAACCGCCTACTCTGAAGGGCACATCACAGATTCCGCTTTTCAGGGAATCCAAACGTGGATTCGTTTCATCCTCAGAACAACCACAGCGCTCGGCACCACTGCCATTCTCACATTCCAGATGAGGAAGCCGGGAGCGGGGGAGCCTGCCTATGTTCCTCTACCAGGAAGGGCAGAGCTAGGATTCAGCCCTGGGAGTCTGGCCCCAAAGCCCAGGCTCTCAACTTCTGCCTGGTGCAAGATGGCTCCCTCATGCCATCTTGCCTTACAAGAACCAAGTTCAATGGAAGGACTTTGTTCTCTTGTCTCTTAGCTTTCGTGGGGGAAGGCAATGAGTCCTTTAGTTTTCATCCTAAACAAGAACTGGGACATGTCTTTGGGGGAGTGTGGGAGCCTAAATCATAGCTCCCAAAGATATCCACATCCTCATCCTTGGAATCTGTAAACGTTATCTTACTCATCAAAAGGGACTTTGTGGGTGTGACCAAATTAAGCATCTTTTCCCCTCCCAGCTTTATTGGCAAATAAGTACTTGGCAGACAAAACTGCATCAATCTAGGGTGTACCACATGATGTTCTGATACACATGTATACTGTGAAATAATTACAAATCAAGTTAGCTCACACATCCATCACCTCACATAGTCAAGTGTGTGTGTGTGTAAGATATTTCTTAAAATTTGTATATATTTAGGAGGTACACATGGAGTTTTATCACATGGATATATTGCACAGTGGTGAAATCCAGGCTTCTAGTGTAAACATCACCCAAATAATGTACACTGTACCCATTAAGCAATTTCTCATTCCTCAACCTCTCCTAGCCTCCAACCCTTCTGAACATCCAGTGTCTATTATTCCACGCTTTTTGTCCATGTGTCCACTGTATTTAGCTCCCACTTGTAAGTGAGAACATGTGGTATTTGACTTTCTGCTTTTGGGTTGATTCACTTAAAATAATGACTTCTAGTTCCATTCATGTTGCTGCAAAAGAGGTGACTTCATTCTTCTTTATAACTGAAAAATATTTTATTCCATATAAATATATTGTATATATAGTATGTTGTATATTTATTGTATTATATATACACAATATAATGCACAATATATAACATATATGTAATACAAAATTATATACAAAATTACTATATATATACAATATATAGTATGTTTATATATAGTATTATATACATTGTACATAAATGTGAATTATATATTTATGTACATTGTATATAAATGTTATGAAAATGTAGTGTGTGTCTAAATTATGAGTGCAGGTGTTTTCTCAATGTACTGATCTTTTTTCCTTTGGGTAGATACTGGTAGTGGGATTGCTGTAGAGAATTTTAGTTCCTTGAGAATTCTCCATACTGTTTTCCATAATTAATTTTCCATACTATGTTATATTCCCATCAACAGTGTGTAAGTGTGAGAACATGGAAGACCCACTGCCTTTGCAAATCCTAAGTCTACCATATGGTATTATTAACTAGAGTAGTCATGCTATACATTAGGACCCCATCATGTATTCACCAGCATAACTGAAACTTTCTGTCCTTTGACCAACCTCTCTTCATTTCCCCCACTTCCCAGCTCTTGGAAACCCCCATTCGACTCTTTCTATGAGTTGGGCTTTTCCCCACATATAAGCAATATCATGCAGGATCTGCCCTTCTGTGTCTGTTCTAGTTCACTTAGCATCATGTCCTCCAGGTTCATCCACGTTGTTGCAAATGCTAAGATTTTCTTCTATTTTAAGGCTGAATAGTATTCCACTGTGTATAGACACCACATTTGCTTTATCCGTTCATTCACTGAGAGACACTTAGGTTGTTTCCATGTCTTGGCTGTTACCAGTATTTAAATTAAGGGTCTTGAGATAGGGAGAGCATCCTAGATTACTTGGGTGGGCCCTAAGTGGAGCTGACTGTGCTTATAAGAGGGAGGCAGGGAGAGATTTGACTGCAGTGGGAGAAGCAGGTCCTGTGACCACAGAAACAAGACGCTGGAAGATGGAGGCAGAGACCAAGGAAGGAAGGAGGCAGCTCTGGGGGCTGGAAAATGCAAGGAAGCATGTTCCCCACTAGAACCTCCGGAGGGAGGGCAGCCCTACCAACACCTTGATGTCGGCCCAGTGAAGCTGATTTGAGACTTTCGACCTTCAGAACTGGAAGAGAATACATGGGTGTCCATTGTCTCACAAAGCTGCTGGGTTTGTGGTATGATGATTTGTTACCACAGCTGCAGAAAACGAATTCCAGGAGGGAGTGGAGGACACACCCCAGAGCACTGGATAATCCTCCCTGACTGGGGTGTCCTGACCGGGGTGTCCTCCCTGACCCGGGCGTCCTCCCTGACCGGGGTGTCCTCTCTGACCGGGGTGTCTTCCCTGATGGAGGCGTCCTCCCTGACCAAGGTGTCTTCCCTGACCGGGGTGTCCTCCCTGACCGGGGTGTCCTCCCTGACCAAGGTGTCTTCCCTGACCGGGGTGTCCTCCCTGACCGGGGTGTCCTCCCTGACCGGGGCGTCCTCCCTGACCGGGGCGTCCTCCCTGACGGGGGCCTTGCTGGTTAAGCTTAGAGGGGGACATGTGGCGCTGAGGAGAAACATGGGCCCAGGTCCGGTTATGAGTGGGAGCTGCTTGTGTCTTCAGTATCTGCCACCAGCAAAAGTCCTTAAATCTGATTAAAAAACTGAATGGCACGAGCTCCGGTGGCCAACCCTCTGCGGCCGGGCCACAGTTCTCCTTGCTTCAGGGCCCAGGGTGTCTTTAATAGGAGGCTTGTTCTCTCCCAAGTCCTCCATTTCTAACTCAGACTGAATCTTCATAGGTGAGCTGACTTCTCAAAAGAAAGAAAAGGGCTGGGCGCAGGCTCACACCTATAATCCCAGCACTTTGGGAGGCCGAAGAGGAAGGATCACCTGAGGTCAGGAGTTTGAGACCAACTTGGCCAACATGGCAAAACCCCGTCTCTACTAAAAATATTTAAAAAATTAGCCAGGCATGGTGGCATGCACCTGTAGTCCTAGCTACTCGGAAGGCTGAGGCAGGAGAATTGCTTTAACCCGGGAGGTGGAAGTTGCAGTGGGCCAAGATGGTGCCATTGCACTCCAGCCTGGGAAGGTGAGAGAGTGAGACCCTGTCTCAAAAAGAAAGAAAAAAAAAGACAATAAAACAGGTTGCAGAATGGAGAAAATTGAGTCAACATTCAAAACTTTTATGATTTCACCTTAGAAATTTAGATTTCTAGCATCGCTTGAGAATTCAGACACTGGTGAAATGGAGCCTCCAATCTGACTTGGCCCTGATGGGGCAGAGCGGTGCTGAGGGTTCCAGTCCTTCCTACCCCACAGGGTCTTTTTGACTCCAGAGTTGACCAGCTTTATTTATGGTCTATCTCACCACTCTTCTACTAGAGAAATGTTTCTCTCGAGTCATGTCTCCACCCAAAAGTGGAGAAAACAGAAAGGGAGGGAGCCGTGTGTTTCCAAGATAATTCAGAAAGAGCACATTGTTTTATGAGAGGGAAGAAAATTCCTGTGCATCTCTTAGGCAAAAATAGAATGTCATTGTCTAATGAACACAACTGAAGATGCCGTTATGATTCTCCATCAGGCTGGTCTCTGAAGACCTTACCTATGCTCACCTGGGCTCTGGGGACCTTACCTATCCTCACCTGGGCTCTGGAGACCTTACCTAAGCTCACCTGGGCTCTGGGAACCTTACCTATGCTCACCTGGGCTCTAGGGACCTTACCTATCCTCACCTGGGCTCTAGGGACCTTACCTATCCTCACCTAGGCTCTGGGGACCTTACCTATCCTCACCTGGGCTCTGGAGACCTTACCTAAGCTCACCTAGGCTCTTGGGACCCAGGTTCCTGAGCCTAGGTGAGCTTAGAAAGACACAAGCCTAGTCCCCCATCAGTGGACCTGGCCCCAACTCCATCCTGGTCTGGAGAGAGAACCTGAGATGTGTTCCTGCAATAGCTGGATGGAGCAGAACTTCTTCCAACATATTCTGACATCCATCCTTCCCTTCATAGCTCTGTTCATTGTATTAGATTGCTAGACATTCCAAACTTCCCCTCTGGGAGATGAACTGGAGAAATGTAACGGTCTAGGTGAGCCGGCAAGACCTGTTCATTACTTCTTGTTAAAATATGACTAACTGTACATGTCATATAATTTATTAACTACCACTTTACAATGCTGATGGTTTGAAGGGATGATCTATTAAAATTCTTGAACTTCTTTCATAATCCATTTCCAGCCAGTCGCACTGTTCCGTTATGGGGATACAGTTAATATTTCTGGCTCTAGTGTGCATAATCCGGCACTTATGTGAATTTAATGCCATTTCCTTCTTTTCTGTTTAAATGCTGTATGAATTTAAATCTTATTTAAATATCACCAACATTCTTGGTTAAATTTATGTTCTTCTAATATTTCTCTCTTTCCGTTTTTTTTTTCAAGAGCTAAAGCTACGGATGTTGAAATTCTGTATTTTTTTCCCCCTCAAACTTGGCAGGAGTAGACATCCTACGGGAATTCTTGCATCCAATTTCCAAGTTAGGTAGTGCCTTTTTGTACTTAGTCTCAATCTTGGATTAAAGATGTGGATCACCTGAGGTCAGGAATTTGTGACCAGCCTGGCCAACATGGTGAAACCCCCTATCTACTAAAAATACAAAAAAATTAGCCGGTTGTGGTGGCGGCGCCTGTAATCCCAGCTACTTGGGAGGCTAAGGCAGGAGAATCGCTTGAACTCAGTAGGCGGAGGTTGCAGTGAGCTGAGACTCGTGTCATTGCACTCCAGCCTGGGCAACAAGAGTGAAACTGTGCCTCAAAAAAAAAAGATAACATTAATAATAGTGGTAACAATAATAGTAGTGACTAATATTCATTGTTTGCTACATGCAAGGTACTGTACTGAGTGTCGATAACTTATTCCACTTAATCCTCACAACATACCTATTAGACTGGTACCCTTACCCCTATTTTCCAGATAAGAAAATTGAAGCTCAGTGTCCTGTAGCCAGTGCCACACTGGGCTAATTAATCAGAGGAGAACTTTAGCTCATTATACTAGGCTATTTATTGGAAAACAACTTTCCCTAACTCAGGTATATCTGTTAATGAACAACACACACTTTTCTGCCAAGAGATAAGCAAGTTTTAAATGGATGCCCTGGAGGACACGCTGGACACAGTTTTAAATGGACGCCCTGGAGGACACACTGGACACAGTTTTAAATGGATGCCCTGTAGGACACGCTGGACACAGTTTTAAATGGACGCCCTGGAGGACACAGTGGACACAGTTTTAAATGGACACCCTGGAGGACACAGTGGACACAGTTTTAAATGGACGCCCTGGAGGACACAGTGGACACAGTTTTAAATGGACGCCCCGGAGGACACAGTGGACACAGTTTTAAATGGACGCCCTGGAGGACACAGTGGACACAGTTTTAAATGGATGCCCTGGAGGCCATGCTGGACACAGTTTTAAATGGACGCCCCGGAGGACACACTGGACACAGTTTTAAATGGACGCCCCGGAGGACACACTGGACACAGTTTTAAATGGACGCCCTGGAGGACACACTGGACACAGTTTTAAATGGATGCCCTGGAGGACACGCTGGACACAGTTTTAAATGGATGCCCTGGAGGACACACTGGACACAGTTTTAAATGGACGCCCTGGAGGACACAGTGGACACAGTTTTAAATGGATGCCCTGGAGGACATGCTGGATATGGTTTTAAATGGATGCCCCGGAGGAGGACACGCTGGACACAGTTTTAAATGGACGCCCTGGAGGACACAGTGGACACAGTTTTCAATAGGCGCCCTGGAGGACACAGTGGACACAGTTTTAAATGGATGCCCTGGAGGAGGACATGCTGGACGTGG